CCATACTGCCAAGGAGATAGTGCTTGGCAATGGCGCTGCGACGGCTTGCGTCGCTCGCGCCTGGGCTCCAATGCAGTAGGTTCTCTCTCCTTTCTTGCTCTCCGGCTGCCGCCGCTGCTTTGCTTCCGCTGTCTACGTGCTAGGGTTTCCACTTTCGCTCCGCACGAGGTTGGCCAGTTTGCGCTGTGCCTCGCTTGGTGCCGTGGGGTATCGCTTGTGTGGAATATCGATGGCCGCTTGGGCCTTGGGGGATATGTGCACGCAGCGTGCTAAATATGCTGTCGCTCCTGCTCCTCCTCCTCCTCCTCCTCCTCCTCTTCCCTGCTCTGGTTTCACTTGTCTCCTCCTCCTCCTCCTCCGGGGCCAGTTTTCGGCGACGACTTATTGGCAACGAAGCGTGCCCTGCCAAGCTCTCTGACAGAGTGCCTGAACGCTAGCTTTCAGAGTACCGTCAGGAGGTTCAGAGACCGCTTCGGGGAGCGCCCCCCCCAACAAAAGGCACCTGGCGCGGTACTTTTGCACTCGTGAGCGGTGGGAGTCCGTGAGGATAATCGGGGGCGAGAGAAAAAGGCGGGAGGAGGGTAATGTTCACGCCTGGATGAGATGCTAGATTGATGGGGTGATGTTTTCGTCAACGTGTTCGGAATTGATTGGTGGGTTCGCTGAGACGGACGGTCACGCGAGGCTAGGTGCCATCGCTTTGTACCTAGCTTTCGAGAGCCAACTGTGCACGATTCTTGGGCGGTTCTCTACAAAACCGCCGACACCATTGCACTCGCACCCGACCTTGTCCACAGTGTACCTAATATGAAAGGGTAGATTAATAACTACGCATCCGTTGGACCAACTTCAGATGGGCACGGCGACGACGCGCCCGACGTGCATTGGGACAGCGTGGCCGGGCACATCCGCTTTATCACCGACTGCACGCCCGTTGCTGGCGTGGTCAATGGGGCCACCGCGCCGCGCTTTCCACACCCTCCCTCGGAACCGTCTTCGCTCGAACCACAGAGCTCATTTGAGACGATCAGATCTGGGTAGAGACTGGCGCGAGATGCGCGTGAAGTGGTCTGGTGGCGAAAACGTGATTGGAATATCGAAGCAGACTTGTGGACTGTCCGCGTAACCCCCACCAGCCCATCCAGAAGCGATGCCGCGAGGGAAGGCAGCCGTGAAACGAGAGCTCGCGGACAGGCCGAGAGGGCCCTGGTCCTGGGGCCCTCTTGGCGTTCTTTCTTCTGGGCCTTTTGGGGGCCTTGTAATCCCTTTGGGGCTCTTTTGGGCGGTCTTGGGGCCCCCTCTTGGCGTTTTCTCGGGGGCCTGTTCGAAGCCTTCGAAGCCTCTCGTGGCCATGCTGGAGGGCGTCGATCAAAAGAGGTGGGTTCTCGACGTCAGTCTCCACATGGGAACCTTCAAATCGCCTCTTCGGGCCCTCGTGGGGCCCTCTTAGGGCGCTCATGGGCGGTCTTGGGGCCGTCTTGGAGGCCTCTTGGGCCTCTTGGGGCTCTCTTGGACCATCTTGGGGCCATCTAGAAGCCTCAAGAGCCCATGGGAAGCGAAACGGCGAGAAGGCACACATCATTGATTTCCCGGAGATTATTGAAGCATATTCGCTTCTTGCGGGGCTCCCGAGGGGGCTACGAGAGCAGTTGGAACCGTCTTATGGCTCTCTTTGGGGTCTCGTGGAGGCCTGTCGAATCTATCTTGAACCATCCTCGCTATCTCGAGCCATTTTGGCGACAGATCTTGGAGCATCGGGGGTCCTCTTGGAGCCATCTTGGACGAAAATGGACGCCCTGACACCTCGCAGGCCCCCAAAAATCCTCAGGGAGGGGTGGTGGTGGAGGGTACCCCTCCCCGAAGGGAAGAGGGGCTTGGGAGGAGAGGGAATGCAGACCTCGTTCGACCACCTGCGCCCTCAAGGGCTGGTGGGATTTGGTACCAACTATTCCCGACTGAAGCGACGGCGTCACCCGAGCAGGGTCGTGTTCTGCAGCCGCTTGGTGCGTGGAGGTTGTCACGCGCCGCGGTTTGATTGAATGCACTTGTCTGCGAATCGTAGCCAGTACAGTCATCAGCGATCCAGCTTCTTGCTTTACAGTGGAGGCGGTTGCTTTGGAGGAGGCGACGCTGACTGTGGAGAAATTCGCCTATAAGATAGGCAACCGGCCATCACAGAGCTGCTCTAGGCCTGGCGAAAGATACAGGGAGGGAGGACGGGAGGAGGGGGAGGAGGAGGAGGAGGAGGAGGAGGAGGAGGAGGAGGAGGAAGAGGAGGAGGAGGACGAGGAGGAGGAGGAGGAGGAGAGAGGAGTGATGCGGTAGGAGGGAGAAGGGATGAGAGGGAAGCGCTCCCTAAGACGTGAGTGTGCCCCCTCCATCCTCTCTCCTCCGACTTGTTTCCTCGACTCCTCCCTCTCTTCCTCCTCCATCCCTCCCCTCCCTTCTTCCCTCTTCCCGCGCGCACTTCCGCGCGCACAGGAGCGCTCTGGTTTGGGGGGAAGTCTTGGAATGAGAAGGGATGGTGATGACGACGATGATCGCGATGGTGTTTATGAAGATGATGGTGATGGTGGTGGTGGTGGTGATGATGATGATGCTGATGATGGTGGTGAGGAGGCTGACGCTGACGATCATGATACCGATGACGATGAGACGATGGCGACGATGACGATGACGATGACGATGGCGATGGCGATTAGGATGATGAGTCTGCTCATGATGCTGTTGCGGCTGCTGATGCCGCTGCTGATGCCGCTGCTGCTGCTGCTGTTGATAATGATAATGATAATGATGATGCTGATGATGATGCTGCTGATGATGATGATGCTGCTGATGATGATGATGATGGTGGTGATGATGCTAATGATGCTGATCCCGACGATGACGATGCCGATACTCATGCTGATGCTGCCACTGATAATGATGCTGCTGCTGATGATCATGCTGCTGCTGATGATCACGATGATGCTACTGATGACGCTGCTGATGATTATGCTGCTGATGATGCTGCTGATAATGATGCTGCTGCTGATGCTGATGCTGATGCTGATGCTGATGGTGGTGCTGCTGCTGCTGATGATGATGATGACGATGACGACAATGACGATGACGTTGACGATGATCACGATGATGCTGATGGTGATCCTGATACTGATGATGCTGCTGCTAATGATGATGATGATGACGACGTTGATGATGGTGATGCTGCTATTGATGATGATGATGATGCTGCTGCTGCTGATGCTGATGCTGCTGATGATGATGTTGATGTTGATGGTTCTGCTGTTGCTGCTGATGCTGATAGTGGTGGTGGTGATGATGATGAGGGTGCTGATGATGATGTGACTGCTGCTGCTGCTGTGGATGAAGATGCTTATGACGATGTTGGTGCTGGTGGTGATGATGATGGTGATGATGATTATGACGATGGTGATTGTGGTGGTGACGATGGAACATATGGTGGTATGGTGTTGACGATGATGCTACTGTTCATGCTCCTGCTGGTTATAACGATGACGATGATGACGATGACGATGCCGATGACGATGACGATGATGATGATGATGGTGATGATGATGCTGATGATGATGGTGATAGCGATGACGATGACGATGACGATGAAGATGATGATGATGGTGATGATGATGATGACGATGAAGAAGATTAGGATGATGATGATGATGACGACGATGGAACTCATGGTGGTGGTGATGATACTACTGTTCATGCTTGTTCTGGTTATAACGATGACGATGATGACGATGCCGATGATGTTGATGATGTTGATGATGTTGATGATGTTGATGATGATGATGATGCTGATGCTGCTGATGATGATGATGATGGTGATGACGATGGCGATGACGATGACGGTGACGATGACGATGACGATGACGATGATGATGATGATGATGATGATGATGATGATGATGATGATGATGATGATGATGATGATAATGATGATGATGGTGCAAGTGGTGGTGATGTTGCTCAGGATGATTGGTGTAGTGCTGCTGAGGATGCCGGACATGATCATGAAGGCGAATCTGACTATGATGACGATTCTGATGCTGCTGATGATGATGATGCTGCCGCCTGCGCGCGTGCGCCGCAGCACGAGAGAGCAGCGGACTCGCGCGAAGACGCGGCGGCGGCGGCGCGGGCAAAAGAGAGCGAATGGTTCCCCGCCTTGTGGTATGCAAAGGGACCAGGAGCAGGATCATTCTTCCTCCTCCTCCTCCTCCTTTTCCTCTTCCTCTTCCTCTTTCTCCTCCTCTTCCCCCTCTTTCTCTAAGTCTTCCTCTTCCCCTGCTGCCCCTTCCTTCGTCCTCCTCCCCTTCCTCGTCATCGTCCTCCTCTTCCTCCTCCCTTGCTTCGGGAGGAGGAAGAGCAGGAGCAGCATCCTTTCGCCTCCTCAACTTGCCAAGTTCAATCTTCCTCCCGCGTTTGGGCTCTCCACCTTGGAATGCTCTTCGTTCGAGGTACCTCCACAAGGCTTTGAGCCTTCGGCGAATTTGCTCGTGCTCTTAACCTGCACTCTTGCGGCCACGTCTCGGCTGTAGTCAGATATTCTTGCCAGGCTTGCCTTGTCATGTCCATGTGGGCCGTCCAAGATGGACTCCTTCCGTCGCTGCAGTCAGCCTTTGGCCCGTGCCTACGCTCGGCGTCCCCAGCACGAACTCGTTCGCTCTGGAAGATCCTATTCGGCGCGCCCTCGTCTCTGGAGGCCCCGAGAGGTCCCAGGAGGTCCCCAGAGGTCCCCAGCTGCCTCCGAGGCCGGAGCCCTCCGGAGATCCGCAGAGAGGCCTCCGGCAAGGCCCAGAGAGGACCAGGAGCCGCCTCCGCGTGGCGCTCCCTTCGGTATCCTTCAACCGACCCCCATCCCCATCCTCGTCCCCCTCGAGACCCCCACCAAATTACCACCCCCCTTGGGGATACACCCCTCGAGGCCCGAGGGGAACGGCCTATTTTCCCCATCCAGGGGGGCAAATCCGCCAGTGGGGCCCAGGCCACGCCGCTGGGGATGGGGATCGGCGAGCGCCAGGGCTGGCGTCACCCGCAGACCGCGCGGGGAGGCCTCGACGCGCGCGCGCGCGTGGCCCACGAGCCCGCTGTGCTGCCAGATGCCCCGCGGCACGGCCGCCTCGGTCGAGGCAGCGCGATGGGCTTGCTCACGGTCGCGGCCGCGGCAGCGTCTGGGCAGCACAAGGCGGCGCTGGGGATGCAGACGCACACAGCTCGCTATACACCCCCGGATGTGTCCGCCGCCGCCCCAGAGTGGTGCCCTGGGATCTCGAGGACGGCTCGCGGAGTGGGTAACGGGTGTGTGTGTGTTCGGGCCGTGGTCTTCGCGCGGACTTCAATCACTCCGACATAGGTACCATAAAAAAGAGTACTTTAGATAACAGTTCAAACCTTCACACTGTAACTGGTGCAGGGAGCAGGGACACCTAAGCCTCGCAGACTGTTGGCCCCCAAGGGGTGCGTCGGATTCTACGACTGCCTCTTGTGCCTTAGTTCGTTTGCTTGCCGTGTGTTTGGCGCAATCTGGGCACGTCAGCGAAAGTTGGCATGCAAAACGGGCAGAGGAGCTGCGAGCGGAGTGGAGCACATTGGTTATTTTTTATTTATATATATATATATATACAAGACTGCATTGGCGCTTCGCGCCATGCGCCTTGTTCCGGACGCTTCCCTGGCAAAGCAATGAATCATCGCTTTCTTCAGCAGGGAGGACCTGGAGGCCTGGACGGGCGACCCGCCCATTTTTCCGATATCCCGGGTGCCTGCTGACACCGCTTTCGGACGATGCGCTGGCACGCTTGTGCGCAGGAGTGGGGAAATCATGCTGATTTTTTCGCGCGCGAAGGTCCTTTGAGGAAGTAAGGAGCGTTCCCATGACACGCCGAAAAAGTCACAGTAGCTCCGAACACATCGATTTTTGATCGCTTCCCGAATGCCTGGAGGGCTCCAGGCACTCAGGAAATCTTCGATCGTCGAATTTCGAATCTAGATCCATTGCCTGTCCCTTTCGATCGGGTAGCTACTGAAACCTCGAGCCTCAAACGTGGAACCAAGATCGTCGGGTCAGCTTGATGTATTTCGTAGGAGAACGCCGTCTGGTCGTTTTTGGTGCTCTTTTGTGCCGTCCTGGGGCACTCTTGGGCCGTCCTGGGGGCTTCTTGGGCCGCCTTGGGGAGCTGGGGCCCTCCAGAGGTCTTCTGAAGCCATCTAGGGCCCTCTTGCGGGCCTCCAGTGGCGTTCTTGGAGGTATCCCATGGCTTTCGTGGGTCTCTCTTGGGAGCCTTCTGGGGGCATCTTGGGCTTCTTGTGGGCAGTCTCGGGGCTCTCTGGGGCAGTCTTGGGGCCCCCTTGGGCCGCCTTCGACCCCTCTAGGGGGCCTCCCGGGCCGTCTTGGGGCGAGATTGGGGGCCCATTGGGCCGTCTTGGACGCTGCGAAGACCCAAAAAGCGGAGATGCACGACAAATGTATTTCCTGAGAGAATGTGACGATTTTGGCTTCTTCGGGGCTCTCTTAACGGCCTCTTGGGGTGTCTTGGGGGCCTCTTGGGCCGTCTTCAGACCATCGAGGTTCCTCTTGGAGCGCTCTTGCGCTGTCTTGGGTCTCTCTTGCGCCTCTCCGACGACCCCTCTAATCGCTTTCAGTCGGCTCGCGAGGCCCAGCGAGGCGCCCTGGGAGGCCCGGAAGGGCCACCGAACCTTTTCAAAGGGCGTCCAGGGGGCCGCCGAAACGTCCGAAAGGGCGTCCGGAGCGCTCCTGGGGGAAGGATCCGGTTTAGGGGGGGGGTCCGGGGTGGGGTGGGGTGGGGGTTTTCCGGGTAATAAAATATAAGAGTAGGAATATGTATATGTATATGTATATTATATTATATATATATACATGTATATATGGATATATATATATATATATATATATATTTATATATATATATATATATATATATATTATATATGTATATTTATATATGTATATATATACAAGATTGCATTGGCGCTTCGCGCCATGCACCTTGGTCCTTGAAGTTTGGTGTGCAGGCGGAATAACAGGAATCTCAAGCCGACAATTTAGCGATAACTCCTTGTTGCCTTTTCCGGCATCGCCGCTATAATGATGTTATTCGTCCTCCATGCTTCTTGTTTTAATTTTCGCCATTTCCTGCGCATTCTCCCCATCCTCCGCAGCTCTTTTTTTGCGGAGGCTCCTCCTTGGAGAGCCTCTGGGGGCCTCACAAAAGTTGTTTCAGGCTTTCTTAAGGCCTTCTCGAGGCCTCCTGGGCGTATTCTGGGGGCCTCTGGGGGCTTCCTCGGGCCACCCTGCCTCCAACCGCGGTCTCCCTGAACGACCGGGTCACGATTTGGAATGCTTCGGAGGGTGTCTTGGGGCCATCTTGGGCCGCCATGGGGCTCTCTGAGGGCCATCTTGGACCCGTGTTGTGCCGTTTGGGGGCTCTCTTGGACTGCCCGGAAGCCCTTTCGGATGGTTGTGGGGCGATTTTGGAGCCTCCCAGGCGGCTTCGGACGCCCAGAAAACCGCCGTCTTGGAGCGTCGGGAAGCCGAAAAGAGGAGAACCCCCAAATTCACCCAAAAGCAACAGAACAATCAATTTTTGGGAGTGCTCTTGGAGGCCTCTGTGGGACCGTCCTGGAGGCCTCTTGGGCCATCTGGAGGTCACGTCGGTCACTCTTGGAGCGCTCTTGTGCTGTCTTGGGGGTCTCTGGGACGTCTCCGATGACCCCCCTGATCGCCTTAGGTGTGCTGGGAAGGCTTGGCAAAACGCCCCGCGAGGCCTGGGGGGCCGCTTCGAGGCCCGTCCAGAGGGTCCCAAAGCCCCAGATCCCGGGAGTCCGGTTTTGGGGGGGGGATGACCCCTTTCGCGTTCCGCCCAGATTGTAAAAATCTATAAAATGAATATGGTAACGGAGAAAAGCCCAATCAAAGTCTTTTTAAGGCTATAGGGCCATGGGGCTATTGGGCTATAGGGCGATGGGGCTGAGGGGCTACAGGGCTATGGGGCTATAGGGCTGTAGGTCCACAGGGCTATAGGTCTATAGGGCTACATGGCTATAGGACTACAGGGCCATAGGGCTATAGTGCTGTAGGGCTATAGGGCAGTGGGGCTATTGGGCTCTGGGGCTATTGGGCTATAGGGCTACAGGGCTATTGGGCTATGAGTCTATAGGGCTATGGGGCCATTGGGCTATAGGACTATAGGGCTATAGGGCTAATTATAGGGATATAGGGCTATGGGGCTATAGGCAAATAGAGCTATAGGGCTATATGGTTATAGGGCTGTGGGGCTATAGGGCTATAGGGCTATAGGGATAGGGCTACAGGGTTATAGGGCTATTGGGCTGTAGGGCTGTAGGGCTATAGGGCTATAGGGCTATAAGGTTACAGTTCTATAGGGATTTTTGGATATAGGGCTACAGGGTTATAGGGCTATTGGGCTATTGGGCTATAGGGCTATATGGCCAGAGGGCTATGAGGCTATAGGGATGTAGGGCTATAGGGCTATGGGACTATGGGACGATGGGGCTATGGGGCTACAGGGCTATGGGGCTATAGGGCTGTAGGTCCATAGGGCTATAGGGCTATATGGCTATAGAGCCATAGGGCTCTAGGGCTATAGGGCTATAGGGCTATAATTCAAGAAAGCTGTAGGGCTATAGGGCTATAGGCCTATTGGGCTATAGGGTTATAGAGCTATTGGGCTATGGGGCTATTGGACTATAAGGCTATGGGGCTATAGTGCTATAGGGCTATAAAAGGGGCTATAAGGCACTAGGGCTATAAGGCACCTGGGCACCTGGGCACCCGAGCACCCGAGCACCTGGGCACCCAGGCACCCGGGCACCCGGGCGGGCCGCGGAAATCGGCGGCAGAGCTCACCTAAGCATATGAATCCGCTAGGACCCCTACAGAGGCAAGCTCTGATTGGTGCATATAGAGTGACAGACAGAGGGAGAGAGAAAGTATGAGAAAGAGTGAGCGAGAGAGCGAGAGCGAGACAGAGAGAGGGGGAGACTAGTTATCTCGCACGCATTATTGGGCGGGTTTCTGAAGCTGTGTCCGCCACTGAGACACAGAGAAAGGAGACTGATGCTTTGCGTGTGGAACGTCGGCTCGTTGGCCTTGCCATCAATATCCTGAGTTCTTGAGTTGCGCGGCTCGTCAGGGAGTGTACACAACAAAGCCAACAGAAGAGGCGGAAGTGTCATTCTGGGTGTGAGGGAGGTCTTGGCCACGGCCTTCGCGGAGGAGGTGGACAGAGTGCACATGTCGCCCCCAGCTTTGTTGCATCTCCTCTCTTGCGAGCCAGACAGCATGAGGGAAGGGAAGTTGCTGCCGACTATTGCGGCAAGAGGGATGTTACCTCTTCAATGAGATGGGGACGCCGGGGCAGGGGCGCAATCATGCTATTCTAAGGCAGACGGGGGCTCATGCATTCGGCTGCGTTAGGAATCGACAAAGCTTGAACGTCTGCTGCGCCGAATGGCACGGCGCCCCAGAAAGCTCTCGAGAGGCGCGGCTGCAGTGACAGGTCCCACCATCCCGATGAGACTTAATCTCTCCTAGGCCGTGCCTCCGCAAACCTGGTCGGAACACGTATATATTTCTCTTTCTCGTTCTCTCTCTCTCTCTCGTTCATTCTCTTTCCCTCGCTCTTTCTCTCCCTCCGCTCTTGGAGGCCTCCTGGGGCCATCTTGAAGGCCGTTCGGGTTCTCTTAGGGCTCTGTTGGGGGCCTTCGTGGTGGCCTGGCCGCCCTGGGCAGATCCATGAGACCACTGATCAAAAAAGGAGGCGTGGGCAATAAGCGCCCCTTGTGAGGCGCTTTCCTCGGGCGCTCTTGGTTTCCAGCTAATGTTTAAGACGGGAACCTCTGGGGGCCTCTCCGAGGCCTCGTGGAGCCCTCTTGGGGCTCCCTGGGAGCTCTGAAGGAGGGGAGGTTGGAGGGTGGCGGAATGGTCGCGGAGAGGGGGCGAGTTTGATGGCTTTCCAGGCCCCGAGTCCAGACCCAGGGGGGAGGGGCAGGGGGAGGGGTCAACCTGTCCCCGAGGGGAAGGACGGCTGACTCGCTGAGCTGCCTGCGCCCAGAGTGTTGGCCACGCCCTCCCACAGCCCGCGGCTGACCTGCTTCTCCCGGCGCGGGCGCGCCCCGCAGGTCTCTGGAGTGCCCGTGCACCATCGACAACACGCGCGGCGAGCGAGCGGAGAACATGGGTGGCGGAGCCACCAACATGCCGGTACTGGGGTTGATGCGGGCAGAGGGGAGAAGACGGGGAGAAGACGAGGAGGAGGAGGAGGGAGAAGATAATCATGATAAGCATGAGAAGGGGGCGAATGCCGACATTGCCCTCTTGGTTGTACGATGTCGGATGAAGTGTCGTATATACGATACGTATGTAGGTTATTATATATATACACATGCATGCATGTATGTATGCATGCATGTATGTATGCATACATGTATGAATCCATGACTGCATGCATGTTTGTGTGCATGTACATGTACAAGCATGCATGCGTGCATGCATGCATGGATGCATGTAAGTACATGTGTATGCATGTATGCATGTATGAATGTATGTATGTATGCATGCATGCATGTATGCATGCATGCATGTATGTATGCATGTATGTATGTATGTACGTCGGTGTGTGTATGTATGCATGCATGCATGTATGTATGTCTGTATGCATGCATGCATGTATGTATGCATGCATGCATCTATCTATCTATCTATGTATGGATGTATGTATGTAATGTAGTGTAATGTAATGTAATGTGATGTAATGTAATGTAATGTAATGTAATGTAATGTAATGTAATGTAATGTAATGTAATGTAATGTAATGTATTGTGATGTATTGTAATGTAATGTAATGTAATGTAATGTAATGTAATGTAATGTAATGTAATGTAATGTAATGTAATGTAATGTAATGTAATGTAATGTAATGTAATGTAATGTATGTATGTATGTATGTATGTATGTATGTATGTATGTATGTATGTATGTATGTATGTATGTATGTATGTATGTATATATGTATGTATGCATGCATGCATGCATGTATGTATGTATGTGTGCACGTGCATCTGTAGGTACGTATGCATGTATGCATAAACGTATGCATGCATGCAGGCATGCATGCATGAGTGTATGTATGTATGCATGTATGTATGCATGTGTGTATGCCTATGTGCATGTATGTATGTATGCAGGCACGCACGTATGTATGCATGCATGTATGCATGTATGCGTGTATGCCATGCAGGCATGCATGTATGTATGCATGCAGGCATGCATGTATTTATATTTAGTGCATGCACTAAATAAAAATACATGCATGCCTGCATACATTTATATTTAGTGCTGGCCTCCGGCCAGTGCCGCCGATCCGGGGCGCTCCAGATAATGATGATGACGATGATGATGATGATGATGATGATGATGGTGATGGTGATGGTGATGGTGATGGTGATGGTGATGAGGATGCTGATGATGATGACGATGATCATGATCAGAATGATGATCATGGTGATGGTGATGTTCATGATCATATTGATGAAGCTGATGATGATTGCGATTATGTTTATCATGGTAATGGCCATGATGAAGAGCATGGAGATGGTGATGACGACCCTGGGGAAGCGGTCGAGAGGTCCGGTGGCCCACGCTCCGAAATCGAACCGCTGGGTGCCAGGAGTCTTCCATGCCCTACTTCCTGATCCGCCCATCGTCTTTTCTCTCCCAAGCTTGTCGATTGTTCCTACGTCGGGCCTCCTTCACGCACTCGACGCTCTCTTGCCGTCCGCAGGGTGGTCACTGGTCCGTGTGGGCCTGTGCTGTGTTACCACCGTAGTTGTCGCTGCCGCTGCGGCTGTTGCCGTCGACGAGGGGTGCGGACGGGAGGACGTCAAAGTGAGAGCAGAGAACGTCGCCCCCCCCCCCCCCCCCCCCACACACACACACACATTGAACAGTCAAGAGAAAATGACAGATTTTTGCCTCTCGGAGCGTGGGGCTCTTGGAGAGTCTCGAAAATTTCTCAGCCCGTACTCGGGCCATTTTGGGCGTCTCGGACCAATCTTTCAGTGATTCGGGGTCGTTGTGGGTCGTTCTGACGGCTTCTTCGGGTCCTGTTGGTCCGTCTTGGGCCCCCCTCGGGCTGGGCAAAGTTATGCAGGGGTATTCCGGGGGCCCCAGAGGGCGCGCGGAGAGGCCCGGTAGAGATATGAAAGTTCGGGGTCCGAGCCCATGAAGGATCCTTTGGCTTGACTGAGGCTCAGAGGATTGAGCAAGGGACATCGGGAAGCGCCTTGGGGCTCGTTTTGGGACTTCTTGGGCATTGTTTCGGGCCTCTTGGGGGCGTTCTGAATTCTCTTGCGGGCTTTATGGGGCCTCCTGGGGGCGTCTTGGAGCCTTTGCGCTGCACTGCATGGCGGCGAGAATGGCGCCCCCCTTCCCCTTCCCCTTCCCTCTGCGGAGCGACCCCCCAGTCCCCTTCCGTTCTTGAGCGCGGAGTGGCGTTGGGAATGGCGAGCCCCCTCCCCTCCCCTGCGGAGCAAACGCCCTTCCCGTTGCCGAGCGCTGAGTGGCGTCGGGAATGGCGCCCACCCCCCCTCTTCCCACCCTCTGCAGAGCGCCCAAGCCCCCGGCTCCCGAGCACTGAATGGCGTCGGATAATGGCGTCGGGCACGGGGTCCTCCCGCCCCCTTGCAGAGCGAACCCCCCCTCGCGGGTCCCGAGCACTGACCGGTGTCGGCGGAGCACCGAATGGCGTCGGGAATGGCGTCGGGAATGGCGCGCTCCCCGCTCCCCCACCGCCAGGCTTCCGAACACTGCATGGCGTTGTGAATGCCCCCCCCTCCCCGCAGACCGACCCCCTCCCAGCTCCCGAGCACTGAATGGCGTTGGAAACGGCGTCCCCCCCCCTTCCTTGTCCACGGCTCCCGAGCAGCGAACCCCTCCCCGCGGGTCCCGAGCACTGCGTGGCCTCGGAAATGGCGCCCCCCTTCCCCCCCCATCTCCCCTGTCCACGGCTCCCGAGCAGCGACCCCCCTCCGGGTCCCGAACGCTGAATGGCGTCGGAAATGGCGCCCACCCCCCCTTCATTGCCCACGGTTCCCGAGCAGCGAACCCCCCACCCAGGTGCCGAGCATTGCATTGAATGGCGTCGGAAATGGCCCCCTCCCTGTCCACGGCTCCCCAGCAGCGAACCCCCCCGGTCCCGAGCACTGAATGGCGTCAGGAATGTCGCCCCTTCCCTCCCCCCCTATGCACGGCTCCCGAGCAGCGAACCCTTCCCCCGGGTCCCGAGCACTGAATGGCGTCGGGAATGGCGTCCCTCCTCCTCCTGTGCACGGCTCCCGATCAGCGAACCCTTCCCCCCCCGGGTCCCGAGCGCTGAACGGCGTCGGGAATGGCGCCCCCCCTCCCCGTCCACGGCTCCCGAGCAGCGAATCCCCACCGGGTCCCAATAGTGTCGGGAATGGCGTTCCCCCCCTTCACGGTTCCCGAGCAGCGAACCCCCCCACCTGGGTCCCCGAGCTCTGAATGGCGTCAGAAATGGCGCCCCCCCCCTCTCCCCTGTCCGCGGCTCCCGAGCGGCGAACCCCCCCCGGGGTCCCGAGCACTTATGGCGTCGGAAATGGCTTCCCCCCCCCGTGTCCTCGGCAGCGAACCCTTGCTCCGGTTTCCGAGCATTGAATGGCGTCGGAAATGGCGTGCCCCCCTCTCCCCCCCTTGTCCACGGCTCCCGAGCAGGGAACACTTCCCTTGGGTCCCGAGCATTGAATGGTGTCGGGAATGGCGTCCCCCCCCGCCCTTGTCCATGGCTCCCGAGCAGCGAATCCCTCCCGGCACCCGAGGCGTCCCCTCCCCCCCCTTCCCCCTGTCCACGGCTCCCGAGCAGGGGGTCCCGAGCACTGAATGTCGTCGGAAACGGCGTGTCCCCGCCCTCTGTCCACGGCTCCCGTGCAGCGAATCCCCCCGCCCGGGTCCCGAGCACTTAATGGGGTCGGGAATGGCGTGCCCCCCGCCTCTCCCCCCTGTCCACGGGTCCCGAGCAGCGAACCCTGCCTCTGGGTCCCGAGCACTGAATGGCATCGGGAATGGCGTCCCCCCCTTTGCAGAGCGAAGCTTGAGCGAACTTGAGTCCACACTCTCAGAAACTCATTCGCTGGATCGGCGGACATAATATATATATATATATATATATATATACGTATATATATATACGTATATATATATATATATTCCTATTCTTATATTTATATTACCCGGACCCCCCCCCCCGGACCCCCCCCCTAAACCGGATCCTTCCCCCAGGGACGCTCCGGACGCCCTTTCGGACGTTTCGGCGGCCCCCTGGACGCCCTTGGAAAAAAGGTTCGGTGGCCCTTCCAGGCCTCCCAAGGCGCCTCGCTGGGCCTTGTGAGCTGACTGAAGGCGATTAGCGGGGTCGTCGGAGAGGCTCAAGAGAGACCCAATACAGCGCAAGAGCGCTCCAAGAGGAACCTCGATGGTCTGAAGACGGCCCAAGAGGCCCCCAAGACACCCCAAGAGGCCGTTAAGAGAGCCCCGCAGAAACCAAAATCGTCACATTCCCTCAGGGAATACATTTGTTGTGCATATCCGCTTTTTGGGTCTTCGCAGCGTCCAAGACGGCCCAATGGGCCCCCAATCTCGCCCCAAGACAACCTGGGAGGCCTCCTAGAGGGATTGAGGGCGGCCCAAGGGGGCCCCAAGACTGCCCCAGAGAGCCCCGAGACTGCCCACAAGAAGCCCAAGATGCCCCCAGAAGGCTCCCAAGAGAGACCCACGAAAGCCATGGGATACTTCCAAGAACGCCACTGGAGCCCCGCAAGAGGGCCCTAGATGGCTTCAGAAGACCTCTGGAGGGCCCCAGCTCCCCAAGGCGGCCCAAACAGCCCCCAGGACGGCCCAAGAGTGCCCCAGGACGGCACAAAAGAGCACCAAAAACGACCAGACGGCGTTCTCCTACGAAATACATCAAACTGACCCGACGATCTTGGTTCCACGTTTGAGGCTCGAGGTTTCAGTAGCTGCCCGATCGAGAGAGACAGGCAATGGATCTAGATTCGAAATTCGACGATCGAAGATTTCCTGAGTGCCTGGAGCCCTCGAGGCATTCGGGAAGCGATCAAAAATCGATGTGTTCGGAGCTACTGTGACTTCTTCGGCGTGTCATGGGAACGCTCCTTACTTCCTCAAAG